TTTTTTTTTAACACAAATTTAACAATATTTGATTTTCCCTTTCTTAAGATCCTTCATAAACTTTACAACGAACGTGTTAATTGCATTAATGTATAAGGATTCTTATTGCTTAGGTATTTGAGTTGCTCGTCAAAACCCTCCGGCGTTTTCTGTATCCAATTTCGATCTAGGTAGTACTGTATACATGTTGTGAACTCTTTCTCGCTGTAGTTATCTACACGCACTGGTACAAATGGGTCTAAATGTTCGAATCCTTCTTTGCCAAGCAGATAGCGGGGCATGTACGACTCCATATAGCCTTCGGTCATGCCTATCTTATCTACAGTTAATATGCATACACCATTAGTCCAGTTAAAATTTGTAATGTCCAAGAAGGGTTGGGTCAACGTTATACGATTTGGTGTCATCCTCTGTTTGTTGTCACCGAAAATCCGAGTCTCAGGATGGAAAAACGCATTGAAACCGTCAATTGCCACCATTAGTTTGCAATGTTCTTCACTGGCGTGCTGTTTCAATTCAGACAACAAAGCTGCCACTGTCTCGGATGCAAACTTAATGCGCGCAATACCATGTTCCACTAACTCCAATAATGTTGAACCAGCTGGTGTTGCCTCTCGTTTACTCCAAACGTAATCTTTACTGGTTTTTAAATGCAATTTCGAAAGTAGTGGGCCATTTTGAGTCTTAAAATGTACTAACCAAGCCGCTGCATCGAAAGGCAAATCGATAAATCCTTCTTGAGAAGATGCACTTGCTGTCTCTTTCGGACGTTTCATCCAATTGGGCACCCAAGGCACATGTACAAGCAGAAAGTTGTTTTGCAAACCATAGTGCAACGCATGTGCCATGGTTAGTGTTTTACCAGCACCATTATCACCGTAAAGTACATACCGAACGACAGGCCTTTTGAAATTAGTGTTACGGATGTAATTTATTAGCTCTAAGGCAGCCGGACGCACCATTAGACAAGCCTCGGTGAATGTTTTCACTTGCTGTTCAAATTGACGTGGAAGTCCACCACCGCTGAATAGTTGCTTCCTTTCGTCAGGCGGAAGTGTGTAGAATTTGGCTTCATGCACTTTAGAATGCAGGTCGGTGTTGCTCTCTGCTGTGCGGTAATCGGTTGATACCAATTTTGGACGATTATATAGCGCTTCTTTTGCTGCCTCCGCAGGTGCGCTACAGAACTTTGCACACATTTTCGACATGCGCGTAAGCTTTGTTGAATGTCTAGCTAACATTTTTCCAGCAAATTTCGCGAGTTTTATTCAATATTATTATTTATTCAATATTAGTAGCTTTTCACAGA